TGATCACTCAAAAAAAAAAAAAAGCAGGCCTCTAAAAATAATCTACTTGACATCCAGAAGAAAGTGTTAAGCAACCACTGTGTACTCTCAACAGAAGAGATACCCTTTAAGAAATAAGAATAATAGGCTGGGTGTGGTGGCTCATGCCTGTAACCCCAGTACTTTGGGAGGCCAACACAGGCGAATCACAAGGTTAGGAGTTCAAGACCAGCCTGACCAACATGGTGAAACCTCGTCTCTACTAAAAATACAAAAATTAGCTGGGCATGGTGGTACACGTTTGTAATCCCAGCTACTCAGGAGGCTGGGGCAGGAGAATCACTTGAACCCCGGGGGCAGAGGTTGCAGTGAGCCAAGATCGTGCCACTGCACTCTAGCCTGGGTAACAAAGCAAGATTCTATTTCAAAAACAGAAAAGAAAAGAAATAAGAATAATAATTCTAAGGCGACAATAAGGCTGGGTGAGAAAGGATACAGATGAAATGTGAGAGTCTCACAAAGCAGCTAAAACCAGATTTGTGAAATGCAAACCCATGACTGTGGTGAATTCGTGTTTTATTTTCGTTGTATCTTCCCCCACTGCCTACCGCTGGCAGGGTATATGACGTTCCACATTCAGCAGACCTCAAAACTATTTGCTGAATGAATGAGTAGGGATAAACTGGCCTCAGCTGCAAATGTCTGAAAAATACAGGGGCAAGAGGCAGGCAGATAGGAAGGCAAGGTGAGTAGTAAGTTTTATTTGCTCCTCCTCCCCTGGCCACAGACTGACAGTGAGGAGGCTTTCCCTTGGCTCTTTCTATCCCTTCTGACAGCCAAGGACCACTGACCACTGCTGGAGAGCATAGAGGGGCTTTCCTCCCATCCTTCCATTTGTCCTTTTCCAAAGTCCACCTGAAGCCTACTATTGCCCGAATTGCAACTGGAGCTAAGAAGAAGAAGAAGAAAGGGGAAGAAAAGGAGGTTCATCTTCCCAGTCTGACAGCAACTTAAAAGGATGAGGTGCACAAATCACAGACTGCTAACAGCTTTCATTTAGCAAGAGTCACAAGACAATTAACTCATGACCCCAAGATTAATAGGAATAACTACGGCAATAAGCAGTGGAAGGTGGTGTGGACAACCAGAGAACACAGTCTCTGATTTAGGGGGCCAAACTCATTTCCGTTTTACATGGAAGCCAAGCAAAACATGTCTCCCCAGGCCAGATTCTGTCCAAGAGTTTGCAACCTATACTTTAAGGAAACATCTTTGGCAAAACGATATTTTTTCCCCAAATATCAAGATGTACTTTCTGTTACGTTATCTTTGCCCACAAAATTATACACTGAATTAGGCAGACTTCCATTCTGGCCTTCCCAAATACTTTGTGGATATTTACCAGTATAAACATCCATTTTGTTGTAAAGTTACATTAAGCAAAGTAGACCCAGTGGTTCAAAAGAAAGAAATTTGAGACATATCTTCACCACGTGTTCCTAAACCCCAGAAAAACAATGAACTATCCAAGATAACGTGAAAATTTAAGTGTTCAGTAGTCCTGCTATATGTTCCAAAATAACATAAGTGGACGATTATGGCATTTGGAATTTTAAATATGCAGGAAAAAGGATTCTATGGCTCTGAAGCTTTCCCCCATACTGCACTAGGTGATGTACCATACTTCTGAAGCACTCCTGGTAAGAGTGAGCCCTCCAGTGTGTTTATATACTACTAAAAGAGTGAGAGTCTGTTTCCAGTTTCAAGAGACCCAATAATTTTTAGTCCCTCATAGGAGAAATGTTGTGCCAAGAACATCTGCAATAGATGATATGCAGTTTTATTGAGTAAAAGAAGTTTTAGTAAGTTTATCCAAAATATAGTTTTCTTAAAAATTATATAAAAGATAAATAGTAATATTGTATTTTATTAACACATACACACACATACCATTACCACCAGTTTTTACTAAATTGCCTATTTTGGCCATCAGTATTGGCAGCTGGCCCAGGCAACTCGCGGCAAGAGTGGTGTCTAAAACTAGTGTAACAACAGGTATGAAGAGGAAGTAAAAACCCACAACCAATGTTTTAAAGCAGAGGAAGAAAATAAAGGTTGTACCATAAAAGTAACCAGGTTTAATTCAGGACCCATACAAAATAAGGGCTG